TAGGGTTAGGGTTAGGGTTAGGGTTAGGGTTAGGGTTAGGGTTAGGGTTAGGGTTAGGGTTAGGGTTAGGGTTAGGGTTAGGGTTAGGGTTAGGGTTAGGGTTAGGGTTAGGGTTAGGGTTAGGGTTAGGGTTAGGGTTAGGGTTAGGGTTAGGGTTAGGGTTAGGGTTAGGGTTAGGGTTAGGGTTAGGGTTAGGGTTAGGGTTAGGGTTAGGGTTAGGGTTAGGGTTAGGGTTAGGGTTAGGGTTAGGGTTAGGGTTAGGGTTAGGGTTAGGGTTAGGGTTAGGGTTAGGGTTAGGGTTAGGGTTAGGGTTAGGGTTAGGGTTAGGGTTAGGGTTAGGGTTAGGGTTAGGGTTAGGGTTAGGGTTAGGGTTAGGGTTAGGGTTAGGGTTAGGGTTAGGGTTAGGGTTAGGGTTAGGGTTAGGGTTAGGGTTAGGGTTAGGGTTAGGGTTAGGGTTAGGGTTAGGGTTAGGGTTAGGGTTAGGGTTAGGGTTAGGGTTAGGGTTAGGGTTAGGGTTAGGGTTAGGGTTAGGGTTAGGGTTAGGGTTAGGGTTAGGGTTAGGGTTAGGGTTAGGGTTAGGGTTAGGGTTAGGGTTAGGGTTAGGGTTAGGGTTAGGGTTAGGGTTAGGGTTAGGGTTAGGGTTAGGGTTAGGGTTAGGGTTAGGGTTAGGGTTAGGGTTAGGGTTAGGGTTAGGGTTAGGGTTAGGGTTAGGGTTAGGGTTAGGGTTAGGTTAGGGTTAGGGTTAGGGTTAGGGTTAGGGTTAGGGTTAGGGTTAGGGTTAGGGTTAGGGTTAGGGTTAGGGTTAGGGTTAGGGTTAGGGTTAGGGTTAGGGTTAGGGTTAGGGTTAGGGTTAGGGTTAGGGTTAGGGTTAGGGTTAGGGTTAGGGTTAGGGTTAGGGTTAGGGTTAGGGTTAGGGTTAGGGTTAGGGTTAGGGTTAGGTTAGGGTTAGGGTTAGGGTTAGGGTTAGGGTTAGGGTTAGGGTTAGGGTTAGGGTTAGGGTTAGGTTAGGGTTAGGGTTAGGGTTAGGGTTAGGGTTAGGTTAGGGTTAGGGTTAGGGTTAGGGTTAGGGTTAGGGTTAGGGTTAGGGTTAGGGTTAGGGTTAGGGTTAGGGTTAGGGTTAGGGTTAGGGTTAGGGTTAGGGTTAGGGTTAGGGTTAGGGTTAGGGTTAGGGTTAGGGTTAGGGTTAGGGTTAGGGTTAGGGTTAGGGTTAGGGTTAGGGTTAGGGTTAGGGTTAGGGTTAGGGTTAGGGTTAGGGTTAGGGTTAGGGTTAGGGTTAGGGTTAGGGTTAGGGTTAGGTTAGGGTTAGGGTTAGGGTTAGGGTTAGGGTTAGGGTTAGGGTTAGGGTTAGGGTTAGGGTTAGGGTTAGGGTTAGGGTTAGGGTTAGGGTTAGGGTTAGGGTTAGGGTTAGGGTTAGGGTTAGGGTTAGGGTTAGGGTTAGGGTTAGGGTTAGGGTTAGGGTTAGGGTTAGGGTTAGGGTTAGGGTTAGGGTTAGGGTTAGGGTTAGGGTTAGGGTTAGGGTTAGGGTTAGGGTTAGGGTTAGGGTTAGGGTTAGGGTTAGGGTTAGGGTTAGGGTTAGGGTTAGGGTTAGGGTTAGGGTTAGGGTTAGGGTTAGGGTTAGGGTTAGGGTTAGGGTTAGGGTTAGGGTTAGGGTTAGGGTTAGGGTTAGGGTTAGGGTTAGGGTTAGGGTTAGGGTTAGGGTTAGGGTTAGGGTTAGGGTTAGGGTTAGGGTTAGGGTTAGGGTTAGGGTTAGGGTTAGGGTTAGGGTTAGGGTTAGGGTTAGGGTTAGGGTTAGGGTTAGGGTTAGGGTTAGGGTTAGGGTTAGGGTTAGGGTTAGGGTTAGGGTTAGGGTTAGGGTTAGGGTTAGGGTTAGGGTTAGGGTTAGGGTTAGGGTTAGGGTTAGGGTTAGGGTTAGGGTTAGGGTTAGGGTTAGGGTTAGGGTTAGGGTTAGGGTTAGGGTTAGGGTTAGGGTTAGGGTTAGGGTTAGGGTTAGGGTTAGGGTTAGGGTTAGGGTTAGGGTTAGGGTTAGGGTTAGGGTTAGGGTTAGGGTTAGGGTTAGGGTTAGGGTTAGGGTTAGGGTTAGGGTTAGGGTTAGGGTTAGGGTTAGGGTTAGGGTTAGGGTTAGGGTTAGGGTTAGGGTTAGGGTTAGGGTTAGGGTTAGGGTTAGGGTTAGGGTTAGGGTTAGGGTTAGGGTTAGGTTAGGGTTAGGGTTAGGGTTAGGGTTAGGGTTAGGGTTAGGGTTAGGGTTAGGGTTAGGGTTAGGGTTAGGGTTAGGGTTAGGGTTAGGGTTAGGGTTAGGGTTAGGGTTAGGGTTAGGGTTAGGGTTAGGGTTAGGGTTAGGGTTAGGGTTAGGGTTAGGGTTAGGGTTAGGGTTAGGGTTAGGGTTAGGGTTAGGGTTAGGGTTAGGGTTAGGGTTAGGTTAGGGTTAGGGTTAGGGTTAGGGTTAGGGTTAGGGTTAGGGTTAGGGTTAGGGTTAGGGTTAGGGTTAGGGTTAGGGTTAGGG